GATGACTGAACTCAACATCATAGAACATCAAAAATTTATACGGCCAGTTAGGAGTACAAAGAATCAGGATTTTGGTTAATTAGTAGGGGAACATTTTACTTCTGAGCTCCTTTTTGTGTTTTAGACTTTGATTCTGAAATGTAGCTGGAAATGTTGAATTAAGCCATCAGATCCCCCCCCCCCCAACATGCCTACATTTTTCATTATTGCCCCCCCCCCCAACATGACTACATATTTCATGACTTTGGAAGCAAAACCACTCAATTAAGCCATGAAGACTGCAGTTCTCTTTTCTTTTTATGAGCTTCGGTTTCCCAACAGGGATACGAAGTCTGAGCTTCTTAGCACAGTAATTGCCATTTCATATTAGCCTAAACTAGTGTGAAGAATCAATTCCTAAAATCCCGCCTAGATTTTTTGATCACCACATATTGGGGGGGGGGGAAACCCCACTTGGAGGTATGATTCAATTGTGAAATTGTCAGTAATCTTGCAGACAGTCCCGAAGATTTACTTTTTAAAAGATGGGTTTCCATTTAAATAGTTAAGGCTCCAAATCTATTACAATGGAAGATAAAAAAATGATCTAGTACTTACACGGCAATAATCTGTTAGAATCTCGGGGCGTATTGAATACTATCAATAAAGCAGTTAACAAAAAATACTGCATGAAAATTCTAAATACCCACAGGCTAATACAAAGCAAATGGCTGGAAGAAAACTGTTGATCTTCCTGATTTTGGGATCTGTTAGGTTGCCTTGCAGAACTGCCCATACTTAGTACTTGGTACACTAGATAGTGAGCTGAACAATTTGGGTTCAAGGAGCTACCCAAGGCTATTCAATGAGTTGCTGGGCTGGTATGTGAACTGGAGTCTTCCAAATCAGTTCACCTAAGTCGGCTCAAAACCCTAGATAACTGACAGATTTCCAAAATGGGATATTTGTTCCTGTACTGGATGCAGTCCCTGATACACTTTGTCATCTCAGATCGCTAAACTAAAATTATTGTTCATCAAACGTTTGCCCTGTTTACCCGTTTCCCTGACCTGGATGGCCCGGGCTAGCCTGATCGTGTTGGATCTCAGACGCTAAGCAGGGCGAGTCCTGGTTAGTACTCGAATGGGAGACCACCAAGGAATTCTAGGATTGCTATGCAGACACAGGCAAGTGGGCAAACCACCTCTGTACCTTGCAAACACTTTTGGGTTTCCATAAATTGGTTGCAACCTGAGCACACTTTCCACCACCATTTACCAATCGGTTTCCAAGCACAATTTGAGGTGCTGGTTTTGGCTAAAGGGGGGGGGGGCATTTTTGCAGAACCAGTGCCACTGTGGCAATGCCAGCTCAACAAATCCAAGCAAGGGGGGAGTTTTGCAAGCCTAGCACAGCCAGTGCTTGTACAGAGTGTCCAGCAGAACCAATGCCACCTCAACAAATCCAAGCAAGAGGGGGTTCCAAGCCCAGCATAGCCAGTGCATGTACAGAGTGCCAAGCAGTACTAGCACCATATATTGGTGGCCAGCAAAACCCAAGACCTTCCCTTAATTTGTTTTTCTCCCTCCACTGAAAACAATGGAGGATGGGGGCACCTTCTTTGAGCATTCTGTACATGCACTGGTTCTGCTGGCCACTCTATATATGCATTGTCTGTGCTATGCTTGCATTCCCCTTTTCTTGTTAAACTGGCATTGCCACAGTGGCACTGGTTCTGCAGGGCTTGGAAAAATCCCCCTCACTTCAGTTTCTACTGCAGAGACTCTCTGGTTTGAAATCAGTCCTTGGGGGTTTTTTTTGCTGTTTCCCCCCCACCATTAGAAACAATGGGGGCACTTTCTTTGGGGGCCCATAGAACTGGACCCTCTGGTCCAATCGTTTTTAAACTTGGGGGGTCTTTTGAGGAGAGGCACCAGAAGCTACACTGGAAATGTGGTGCCTTTACCTCAAAAAACAGCTCCCCAAATTCCCGGATACCCACAGATAGATTCCCCATTGACTGTAATGGTCTCAAAGGGTATAATGGAGCCTAAAAAGTTCAGGATTTCTGAAAAACCCTGAATCCAAATACCATACCAATATTGGAATTCAGGGGTTTTCGGGAATCCCGGTTCGTTTTTTTTTTTGTTCAATATATCCGAATCTGAAAAATCCTGAATTTCTTTTTTTGTGCACACCCCTAGACTTGATATTTAAAGCATTAAATGGTCTGGTTATCTAGAAGATTCTCTCCTCCTGTATGTCACTTAGCCTCATCCCATAGCCTAAATGTATCCCATGAAGCCCCATCATAGGTATGACACAGAGGGACAAGATCTTGTGCTTCAGAGATACACTCTCCCCATTGTTTTCAAAAGCGAGGCATTACCAGAGGACCTATAGCTGAACAGCAAGTTTCAGATACTTTAGGAAGTTTATTTTAGAAGATTATTTCTTGTCATTCACATCCAGTCTCCACCAGCTTTATATGGTAGGGCAAGTCAGAAAAAATGTTGTACTATGTTTGAATTTGCCACATGCTAAACTGAGTATCATCTCATTCCATGAGATAATCAAAAGAGTGAACCATCAAATCCTGGCTTTACTTGGATCAAAGCAGACCTAAGAGCATAAGACCACCTGCAGTACAGAAGGTAAGAAAATGAAACCAACACATTAAAATTAGACTTAAACAGAACCATCTGATCCTTTTTTAATGTGCGTTTCTTCATTTTTTTTGTTGGTAAAATTGGAAGTTTGAAAAGTCTTTCAAAAGCAGAACAGTACAATCCTCACCAACAACCACACCACTTCCTTCAAAGCATTTTTAAATGGATCTTGGACGTCAAAATACATAAAGGTTTTTGTGTGTGTTTTTCCTGGAAGGAGGGGCGGGGTCCAGCCCTGGTCTGCAGCCCATACAGACATGAAAACAGGAGAAGTACAATCAGAGCACAAACACTGAACATGCATGTTGTAAAATAAGGAGAAGAGACACAATGTTCACACTGCTAGCAATCGTGAACTGACCATTATTAGAGTTTACACGGTTCTCCATTCAGGAAAAGAGAGTAAAAACCCAAGGGAAAGATAATCCTATCCAATGTGACGTATATGCGGCTAATTTGCATCCGTGCCCCTTAAATACATGGGCTCTCTTTTCCATGCAACACCAAGTCATTTAATTTTGATATAACCAAAATGCTTTCAAATGTCCTCCCCTCCTTTGCACATCTATTTAGGATACAGTCCATGTAATAAAAGTACACTCATAGCGAAACAGTGCCAGTAAAAGCATCTTCCTTGAAAAGTAATAAGCAACAAAAGTATAAAAGTATATTTCCAGCTCTTACGTGTGTAGCCCAAAGTAAACGTAATTTCACAGTTGAAAAGCATGGGCCGCCAGCCAGAAGCCCATTGGCCAAATCCAGCACCTTCAGGGATACCAACCGGCCCTCTGATTGCCAGCCCAGGGCAAATGAAATACGATGAAAAACTACTGGTAAAGCAGAGGCAATATAATGGGATATTCCTGGCTCGGCCTTCTGCAATACCCCATCACGACCACTCTCTAAAATGATACACCTGGGTTCAAGGGATGCCCCCCCACCCAGGAACACTGCAGAAAGACAGTGTATGGTGATACTCAGTGGGTGAGGGAAATTGGCAAAAAATGCCATCCTTCCTCTACCTGTGGAAATGTCTTCCTGCTGGCAGAACACAACCACAGGCTACAACCCAAGAAGTTTAAAGAACAAAACCTGATAATACATAACTAAACGCCCCTGATCTTTATCATTATTATATCCACAAGCGATACTTATATAGTCTCACATCATCAACCTGATGTAAAGTTTCAGCAGTTGTACTAGCGATTATGCAAAGGATGCTCGCATCACAGATTCAAGAACTGGGCTGTGGTCATTTCCTCATAGGGATGCCAGCCTCCAGGTGGGACCTGGGGATCCCCTGGAATTTACAGCTAATCTCCAGACTATAGAGATCAGTTCCCTTGGAGAAAATAAATGCTTTCGAGGGTAGATTCCATGGCATTGTACCCCACTAAGGTCTCTGTCCTCCTCAGGCTCCATTCCCAAATCTTTTCCTCACAAGCCTTGAAACAGTTCTCATCTCCAGCAGACATGACATACTCCCCCCCCACGCCACTTAATCTCAACAACACTCCAAGAAAACTTGTCTGATAGTTAAAGCTACAGGCATCTGTAACACCGCAGATTTCTACCTGACCTTTTCAAGCTTCAGGTCAACGGCAACCATTGAAGCCCTTAGCTCATAAATGAAAGAAACTGGTAATCTTGTGGTAAAATATTTTCACAGTTGCTGGCTGACTTTGATAAGGAGCCGCTTAGAATTCGTAATATGATTCGCACAGGCAAATGCTTCTTTTGTTAACATCATGTGTAAACAGGGCCTCAGTGCACCCAGTCTACCCCCTCAAAGGTGCGTGCCGGCCAAAGCCCAATGGCACACAAGTACAGAAATAGTTTCTGAAAAGCTGGTGGTGGAGGCACTGGTCAGGATCCAAAGAGTTACTTTAGGTCTGCACAAGGAGGGGTTTTTTTTTTAAAAAAGTATTCATTTGAGCAGGACCCCCCACCTCTGCAAATTCCATATTACAAACTGCTTATTTGAATGTGCCCTCTGTTTTGGAAATGGCCCACCCTGAAGGACAGAAGGCTGACGTCTGAGAAACACACCCATAGAGAGCATGCCACTTGTGTGGGTCTTGAAAGCTTGGCCTTTTGGAGGAATGGGAAATGTTTAAACCTCTAGAAAGGGATGTGAAGTCCAGCAGGCTGTCCCGAGGTAACAAAGACTCCTCTTTATCACCACTCCAACCGTAGGCTTCTGCACTACGAAGCCCCACAGCAGTGTCTGCACCAACATTTCACGCTTCACAATCGGGGTTTCGTAGCTGTCAACAATTCAGCCGTGTTACCTACACAGCCTGTGACCATGAAAATAAAAATGCTCCATGTTACGTTTGCTATTCCCGCCCCACCTTCAGATGACACAATGATGGACTCCACGTTTTCAATGTCTAGCTTGCTCAAGAAATTTAGCCTTTCATCCATTTACAGTCTACGTGAGTTTATTTATAATATCAAAAGTCTAATACCCAACGTCAGCACATTATACTCAAACTGGCATTGCACTCTGGACGACACTGAGACGTGTGGGGCAGAAAAGGCAAGGGCACGCAACTATCCAGCCTTCTCAAACATCTTTCAAATCCTGTGAGCCAAATAAGATTACAGCATTTGGTGTGGAGGAAATGGTACTTTTATGGGGCCTGAAGAAGCCGATGCTATCAATTCTCTTTCAATAAATTCTACCATCAGTTCAGTTTGCAATCTGACTGGTACCAATTTAATCCGTTTCATGTTTAAAAAGACAGATATACAGATATATATGTACACACACTCACACACGCACAAACAACTATAAAACATCGGCTGGTTAGCTCTGCATGCCGGGGATAACGGTGTAGTTTGCAGTACAAAGGACTATTTTAGTGATCAAATTGAAAGTACAGTTTAACCATCTAGCTTGTTGGTTACTGTGATTAAGAAAAATCACTAACAGTCCAAGGAAGAAGGCCAAGACAAAAGGTAGACTCCAAAGCTGAGAATTAACAAAATACCCAGAATTTCGTTTATGGAGTATTGCCTGAGATTGTTTAAAGGAAGACCTGCAGAACCTTATTCCACCATAAACACAACAGCTGGCACAGGAAGTATTAGTCAGTGTTTAGAACGTTGCGCAGGCTTCCTGGGAAGGTATGCAAAGTTACCAGTGGAAGCACAAACTCTCCAATAGCTCACTTTAGTTTTTGGTATGTATGTGACCATTGGGCCAGGAGGCAAAGTACACAACTACTTTCCCCTCCTCATACTCCTAAAACCAATCTAACCAACGCACCATGCATCTTCCCACCGGCTGTACCACCTGACAGGACTGAACGCCATCCAAAGACAGCTTTCCTTTTCGCCAGAGAGTTTTGCGTTCCTACTGCCCCCCCCCCTCTTGGGAGAAGGCTGACTCGTTCTAACTTCTTTGCATGTCCCGTTGTTCTTTCTGGTCCCTTGCCAAAGACTGCCACTGATCTCCTGCCAAGTCAGTCTTTGCTTTGTCCTACAAATCTGCTTCTGGCTTGACTGGGACAGGCTCACCACCAAAACCGAAGAACCCTTACTATAGATTAACGGAGTCCGCACCCTGATTTTGACGTGCCTTTCCTTGAAACTGTGTCCCATTGATTTCCACAGAACCTGCTTCCAGGCAAACGGATTAGGACAGCGACCGGCGGCCTGCCCCTAAGACGCCGCTTCAGATGGAGCACAGCAGGAACAGAAGTTGGTGCTGTGGCAATTAAAACAGCATCTCAGAATGCTGGAAACTGAGGCTCCGCCCACCTTACCACTGAACGGCCCCCTAGGCTCCTTCCCGGCCAGAGCCAAGCAAGCCTCTTGTTGTGGGGAAATGCAGCATGGAGGGGCTGTAGGACACCTGTAATGTCAGCAGTGACATTAAGGGTCAGGTCTCCGCATAAGTGGACAACGTATTCCCCCCCCCCCACCTAGGTCAGCGGTGTAACCCTTAAATCTGATCCAAAGGGTCACTATGCCGACTCAGTGGCTCATATGATCAGGCTGTTAGAGAGAAGTGGTCTGAAGAATTAAAGGACAGAAAACTGGACAAATCAATGTAAAGAAATATATTAATAAGTTTCTGTTATATAAATAACCTTTATAAAAATAATCTTTAATCCTAATAACTCACCTCTTTGTTTTTTGTTTTTAGGCTCTGGAAAACATGCACGAAAAAAGTGTACTGAGGTTTAGGTTAGAAAATCAAATCCAAAGTGTTGCACTAAAGCCAACCCCTTCCCCATTAATCAGACTTCTGAGGCAGTAGGGGGAGGGGGGGGGTCATCATTTTTATAACCTTACTAATACTGTCCAGCAGAATCTTAAGACCTATTCCTAAGGACTTGCGTGAACTGCAGATGGTCAGGCAAAAATAAGACCAGATTGCTACTTTTCGATTCACCAATTATGTCTGACTTAATATGAAAGGCACCATCTCTTCAAATTTACTGAATTGGGCTTGCGGGAGAGGAAACCCCCCTCCAGAAAGCAATTAAATGCACTGCTTTCTTCCTTTTAAACCTTTTGCTGCCCACATGAGTTTAAATCTCCCCAGGCCAACTGGAACATCTGAAAGACAGGTTTTAATGCTGGCACAGTTTTTCCCTAATTGAACAAAACCGAGATAAACAAATCTCCAAAGTTTACCTTTCTGGATTTAAGGCATAACATGACTGTACACGTAGGAAAGTTATCTTTTGAAATGCACGATCTGTAGTGTTCCGAAACCCTGCTTTACACATTTAAATAAGTTTTTGAGTGTTTAATCTTGCTGCAAGTTCGAATGCTGCTCGTGGTTTGTGCAATTATGACGCTAAGGAGTCCTTACTGCCAATCGTCAACAGTGCAGTGGAATGCCCACAAAACAGGGCCGGCGGTTTGCCATCTTCTCAACCATAGTCTCAGTCCATTCTTGACCATGGTCTCAGTTCAAAGCGTGTTGCTTGATTGTATGGAAGATCCAGTCCATTTTTGTCGTCCAGCCGCCATGATGAGCATCGTTCATCTGCTTCATGAAATACTCAAGTGCTTCCTGCTCAGTTTTGTCCAATGCCAGTGTCTTCCGAATATATGCAATGTCGTCAAAAGACTGCAGCTCTGGCATTCCCGAACCGAGCATCATGGAGAAGAGGTTTATGAAGAGGTTGGCATGCTGCCGGATGGCTAAGTAAGCTTTGTAACACATTTCTTGAAACCTTGGAAAAAGGGGGGGGGGAGAAACGAAAAACAAAAGACTTTGTTTAAACACACAATAGATTTCAGATGGTGAGGATTAATTCAACAAATGGATTAATACCTAAAACGCAGATGCTAGCTGACCTTTAAATTTGAAAAGGCCAAGATGCTTTTTTGTTGTTATGTGGCGACCAAGGACAAAATACGAACAAGCGAACAAAAATGATTTCCCCACAGTGGAAAAATAACTTTTTCTTTTCACTGTAAAACCTGACTGCCTGCCCTATGTAGCTTCCTGAAATAAGAAGTATTCAGGAAACGGATACTGGAAATGCAGAGTCTATGGCAGTGATGGCGAACCTTTTAGAGACCGAGTGCCCAAACTGCGACCCAAAACCCACTTATTTATTGCAAAGTGCCAACACAGCAATTTAACCTGAATACTGAGGTTTTACTTTAGAAAAAACAACTCATAACATTAACTTAAGATGATCCAAACAAAGTAAGGAAAGCAATCCCAAATGCTTTCATTTACTTAAAATTATTTGGCAGAGAATTCGACACTTTAATGATGGTCTGGGCCTGGGTGGGGCGATGGCACGCATGCCCACAGAGAGGGCTCTGAGTGCCACCTCTGGCACCCGTGCCATAGGTTCGTCACCACTGGTCTATGGGAATGGAATTTTTATAAAGGCAATAAGGTTAGAATGGTTCAGGAGGGTGCTTCAATAAAGGGAATGGGACTGGAGACTATACTACTGCACATAGAATGTATTTATCTCTGTGTGTTTCACATTACCTTGCTCTCATTGCACTGTTTTCTACTTATGCAGTATAATTTTCTGCACTGTTTAACCCAGGGGTGTCAAACATAAGGCATGGGAGCCAGATCTGGCCTGTCTAGGGCTCTTGTGCGGCCTGCATGCAACGGATGCAAGGGAGGAAGTGCTGGAGGGGAGTGGGCGGAGCCACTCCATTGTGGTTTCAGCACAGCAGAACAACCTCGTCTGCAGCAGTTGAGCATCGTGGGTGCATCTGCCCAGCACTGCACTGCTGCCTCTCCAGTCCGCCTATGTGGGTTTTCCTCTGCACCCCCCTCCCAGCCTAGGGGGCCTCACAGTGAGGATACACCAAGTCGGAGCTTACCAGCTGCTGTCCTTTATACAGTTTCTATCTCTGGTACCTGGCATTACATTTTATGGAACACGTGTCCCAGCCCGACAAAGTGAAATTTATGTCAGATCCGGCCCTCGTTAACAAATGAGTTTGACACCTCTGGTTTAACAGAACGAGTCTAATACTGATGCTCTGTTTCAGTTTTCTGCAATTCGCATCCTGTGACACTGCTTATTAGATGTGTCACCCCGTTGACTGTATTGACTTACACTGTGTAATCCCACCTTGAGACTCAGTGAACAAGGCGGACGCTGAACAATGTAAATAAATAAAATAAATACATAAAGAGAGGGAATCCCCAGCACGCATCATGCCAGACCCCAGTGGGACAGACCATGCTGCTCAGCAAGCAGAACAGGTTTTCCCCTTAAAGCAACTGGGGCCAGCCCCTAACAGTGCTGGTAAGGCTCTGCTTGCTCCCATCTCTTCATGAAAACTAGCCAGGAAGGTTTTCCCCAGTGCGAGGACTTATATGCAAATCATTGGTAAACCTCTGTTTAAGAGTCTTTGTGTCTTTCACCATTCGTATTTGCAAAGAACTCATATGAGAACACAGCAGTAGCATTTGAAAGAGCAATAAAAGAGCAGTCGTGTTTGAAAGAAGGGATGTGATGGCGCATCACACAATGATGAGAGGGAATAAGAGAATATAACGGATCAGTGGCTGAGCTTGGCATGCAAAAGGTCCCTGGTTCAATCCCTGGCATCTCCAGTTAAAAGGAATAGGTGGCAAGTGATGTGAAGGATCTCTGCCTGAGACTCTGGAGATCTGGTGCTAGTATGAGTAGACAATAGTGATCTTGATGGACTAATGGTCTCATCCAGCATGAGGCGGCTTAATGTGTTCATTGCGCCTGGAGACGTACACCTCTCTTCCCCCTTCCCTTCGGTTTGCCAGCATACCAATATCTTCACTGGCACCTGGGCCAAAGAAGTTGCCTAACCACTGTCATGAAAGCCTTCTGATCTCCCAAATTCAGAATCTTAATAGTTTTCTCACGGTGCACCTGAATGTGACCAACAAGCTGCCTGGTGTTCCCTGTTTCACTTTGCCATCTCTCCAGCAGGGGAGCCCTTCGCTCATTACAGGGTACAGACGCCTTACTCTGAGACATGCCTTTGACTTAAACAGCTTGGGACGAGCACCGTGAAACAAGCTTTTATCAACAGTCAAAACGTCCATGGTGAGGCAGATACATTTATTATTTATTTTATTTTATTTCCTTCGATTTATATACCGCTCACCCCCTTAGGGCTCTGAGCGGTTTACATTATACATTTGATACAATTCCTACTTAAGGCCACACACACATACAATGGGGGAAGTGACTAACCATACAGGCACCCTGATACATACCCTTCTACCTCCATCTCTGAGGGGCAGAAAGGGATGAGGGAGTCTGCATTCATCCGGGATAGGAGACTGTGGCAAGAGCTGAACATTCATTTCATTTGTGAGGCATTATATTCTATTAATAAACAGCACTATGCATCTTCCTAAATTTGCAAAGATCAGATCATCGCCAGCTTCATAAGGCAAGGGTTTAAGACTACTTGGAATCCAAAATGCAAAATTTTAAGATAAGCCAGGTTTGCATGAGGACCATGTGCACAGCCAGTTGTGTGCATGTACCAAGTTTCTTTTCCAGTGTCAGCTAGTCATGCTTCATGGAACATTGCTTTGAGGTTGCCCCTCTCCCCAAATTTCAGGGGCAGAATTTAGGACGGGAAGATGAGAGGATGGAAAAACTCCCATGTACATATGCAGTATACTACATTCTCATTGTTCTTTGCCTTACAGCCCTTTCCAAGTATTAAAAACCATCGCTACTCAATAAAGGATAAACATGAACTGCACTGTTAGAGTTCTCTTAAGCATACATAAACACACACACCGTTTTGTTCCAAGAAAAAGCTCAATTCAAACCAAGGGAACACACAGAAATCAAGCCCCTTTGTCTCTAAAATGTGTCTTACCCTGAAATATGGGAAGTGTAACGAGTGAACAATGCAACAAAATTTGCTTATGAATCAGGAAGGTCAGTTCCAAGACAGCTCACCTTTCAAATTCCTTTGTTTTGGTACATTCTTGGGCTCCTTTGCTAATCACTATCAAGAAATCTTGCGTTAAGACAAAGGGCACCCGCTCACGTTTGTATCCAAACTTCTTCTTCTTGTGATCCAAGAAATGTCCAAAATCAATGTGGAACAGCTTTAAAGAAAAGAATGTGTTAGATTATCACCTAATCAGGAAAGCGAAGAGGGTGAAGGGTTTTACATCTAGTTACTGCTTTGATTTTTCAAACATTAAAGCAGCAGTACAAGAAGAGCATAAGAGAAGCCATGCTGGATCAGGACAGTGGCCCATCCAGTGCAACACTCTGTGTCACACAGTGGCCAAAGCCCAGTTGCCTATGAGTTACACCAGAGGCATTCAACCTGTATTCCAGGGAACCCTTGCATTCTCAAAAAGCTTAATCAAGGGTTCCTCAGAATTGGCTGAAAGGGTAACAACTTGGTATATGAAATTTGATGTACAAAGGGGATGCACATTGGAACAAAAAACCCTATATGCTGAAGGGATCTGAACTGGCTGGCACTGAGAGGGAAAGACATCTTGGGGTGGTAGTGGACAGCTTAATGAAAATGTCAATTCCGTGTGCCACAGTGGTGAAAAAGGTGATCTGTGCTGGGAATTATTGAGAAAGCAACTAAAAATAAAACAGCTGATATTGTAATGACCCTGTGTAGATCTGGTCTGGCCTCATTTGGTGTATCTTAAAAAGGGTATTTCAGCGCTGCAAAAAGTAAAGAAGAAGGCATCTCAATTGTTTAAGAGGTTGGTGCAACTACCCTATAAGGAAAGGTGAAAAAGACTAGGCCAGGGGTGTCGAACTCATTTGTTATGAGGGCCAGATCTGACATAAATGAGACCTTGTTGGGCTGGGCCATGTGTGTCATAAAATGTAATGCCAGGTAGCGGAGATATAAACTTTATAAAGGACACAGACACAAAGGGGTTGTATTTTAACTTAAAAACATACTTAAAATGTTAGCACTCTTGCAATATTTTGTTTATTTAACAGTGTCTGATAACTGACACCTCTTGCTCTGAATTATTGCATCAAAGTGTCTGTGTTGTTGTAGTCTTGAGTATGCTGTTCAGGTGTTCAGGGTGGTATCGGTAATCTGCAAACCTACGATGACACAACAGCAGCAGAACTGGAAGAAGCAGCAGAATACAGCCAGTTCCACGGCAGGCCTGATAGAAGCCCTCGGGCCGCATGTTTGACACCCCTGGACTATGCTATTCAGTTTAGAAGAAAGATGACTGGGGGAGAGTATGATAGAGGGTTATAAAATTATGCACAGAGTAGAGAAAGTGGAGAGAGCATTTTCTCTACCTCTCCATAATACTAGAACTTGGGAGCACCCAATGAAATTGATGGCCAACAGAATCAGAACTGATGAAAGGAAGTAATTCTTCAGTCAGTGAGTAGTTAAATTGTAGAATTCATTGCCGGTTCATGCAGTTATGGCCACAAATATAGATGGCTTTAAAAGGGGATCAGACAGAATCACGGAGGAGATATCCTCCACAACAGCCATGGTAATTAAAGGTATCGTCCACATTCATGGGCAGCAGACCTCCCAGATCCACTGCTAGGAGGCAACATCATGGAAGGGTCTTGTCCTCCATGCTGTGCTTCTTGTCCCTCCAGGGCAAGTGATTGGCCTCTACGTGAAACAGGATGCCGGACTAGACGGACCAGTGATCTGAACCAGCAGGGCTATTATCAGTGTCAGTAGACAAGCTTCTTTAAAAGGCAGCCTATTCTCCACAACATGTTTTCTATTGAAGTACACAGCTGAGGACGAATGGTGGATCACAGAGAACATTCTCATTGGGAGGTGGGCAATGAGAGGTCCATCAGACTTAACTGGCATGTGCCTTTGTCTAACGCTCCAGAATCCATAGCAACAGACAGGGATTATCTGGTACATGCTCAGGGGTTTCTCAGCAAAGCTGACATGCCAAGTGTTCTCAAAAAGCAGGAAGTCAGAAAAGCACTGTATTGCACAAATAAAGCAGATTTTTACCTGCCCATCATCTTTCACCATGATATTGCTATTGTGACGATCGCCAATTCCCAGTATGAAGGTCGCCACGCAATAGCCAGCACAAGAGCGTGTAAACAAATCAATAGCTGCATCATACCTATCAGAAGCACAGAGAGCATTTGTAATATCGCACACTGGCCTTTTACTTAAGTATTTCATTCAGCCGCTTGCTCAGTAAGATTCCTTAATGGGCACTGGAAGCTAGATGACATTTGGTTCAATGTGGATTGGTTAACATTTGAGCACTCATAGCTACTGGACTCCATCTACCTGAGTGAGAACTGGAGAAGAACTGTTTAGCCAGTGAGAGTGTAGGCAGGAAAGGAAAGGGATGGATTGTGCTGCTGACTGGACTGGGGTTTGTGTGTCCAAAGGCATGCTGTTTGCTTGTGGGCGAACTGATGCTACCGAAGACAGAAGGGCTGACTAGAATGACTGCTTAGATGAATAACAGTGTAAACAAACAGATGAGGCTGTAAGTCTCCAATTGCTTTTCCCCTAAGCCATTACCCAAAGCTGCCCCCCCACTGGGGTTCAGACTATACTCTAGGAACCTTGTGTCTTCTCATGTATGCTTAAAGTGCCGTCAAGTCGCAGATGACTTATGGCGACCCCGTAGGGTTTTCAAGACAAGAGACAAACAGAGGTGGTTTGCTATGGCTGGCCTCTGCAAAGCAACTCTGGATTCCCTCGGTGGTCTCCCATCCAAATACTAGCCAGGACCAATGGTGCTTCGCTTCCAAGGTCTGGTGAGATCGAGCTAGCCTGGGCCATCCAGGTCAGGGACTCCCCACAGTGCACAGCGAATGGCTTCCGAAATCTGGTGAAGCTGCAAGAGCTTGTAGCACACCGAAGACATGTAAGAGCCCTACTAAGATTGCCCAAGCTCTTGACGGAAAAAGCTCTCCTTCTAATGGCAGCCATACCATACAAATGCCCAATTATAAAACACTGTCATGTGAAAGAGGAAGACCGGAAGATATCAAGGCTTCCATCAAGGTGGGAAACTGGTCAATAAGACAGAAAATAGAAGAAAATCTCACTTACATTTCCCCTTTGTTCTTGTCTTTGAGCCACTGGTGTAACGCATGACTGTTGAACTGCAGCGCACCTTTAAGGCCACCCTTGCATTGAATTTGCATGATTGTGTGCGAATTCCTCACAACTTCGATGAGCCCCACACAGTCACCAATCGATAAACAACCATAAGGAAGCATCCTAGAAAAGGAATTGGGAGTACATTGCTTTGACAGGGTCAACCACATGCAGGCCTGGTTTAGAAGTCTCAGTCTGAGCAGCACCAAGGTTTGCTTTTCTAACCAGAAGGCCACTGAAAACAAAGCCATCTGGATACATAACCAAGAGGTCTGGGCTCTAAAGAACTATACCACTAGTTCCAGACTGGCTTTGGCCTTGACTTGCCAGAACAGTGGTCCCCCAGGGCACATGATACACTTTTTAAATTAGAGAGGGGATTCAGAAGTGGGGGGGGGCAGGGTCGGCTCCAGCTTATTTTGCACCCTAGGCGAGGATCCTTTCTGCCCCCCCCCCCGCGCCCACCAATTTTCAAAAATAAATGCATTTTAGGAAGAATGAAAAACACAAATAATCAAGAAACTCCCAGAGTACGGGGCCAGGTGCAGTTTGGTGCCCCTAAGGGCCGTCCCGCTCTAGGCGATTGCCTAGTTCGCCTTAGTGAGTGAGCCGGCCCTAGGGGGGGGCCCTGCTGTTTCAAATAAAACATCCCACTGGGTATACCTAAAGTATGTATATGGATCCTGGCCTAAGGGGGGGGGGGAGGAAAGCACATCAGTTGTAATGATACTTGGTTCTGAAGCCGTTTGTATCTTTGCTGCAAGCAGAAGGCAAAGGCAGGCTGTAATGCCACTAGCTAGAAAGTGAGGAAAATCTAAACCATTACTCGTAAGCACAGGCAGAGCCGATTATTATCACGATAAATGATAAAAGGTTTTCTGCTTGAGCGAAGTGAGTTCTTCATCAGGCAGAGGTGGCCATGAAAAACAAAATTTGGAGGTAAAGATTTGGAGTCAGCACAATTTACAAATACTTGCCTAAGATCAAGACCTTGATTTTGCCAGATATTTTCCATAATTCGGATGATCTGAAGCGTCAGCATATCTTGGCGCAGATCTGAAACACGCGAGCACATACAAACACGGTAAACCTTTTGGAATGTCAGATACAATTTGATTTTTGGTACGTCAAAACTTTGATTACTAATATGTTGAAGCTTTGCATTGTCTAGATTGAATTTCACCTTGGCATTTCATACAATCTAAGAAAAATGTCCCCACAAATTAATACTAGGCAGACAAGCAGTGGGGAGTTCACTAGCTGCTCTGGCCACCCGCCTCTTATACTTTCCCCCCTCAGCAAGTTCTTCTATCTTCAGGGCCAGGCCATGGTTCAGTGGTAGAGCATCTTCTTGGCATGCAGAAGGTTCCAAGTTCAATCCCTGGCATTTCAAGAGGATCAGGTAGTGGGTGAAAGACCTCAGCCTGAGACCTTGGGGAGCCGCTGCCAGTCTGACAACTCTAACCTTGATGGACCAATGGTCTGATTCAGTATACGTCAAAGATATATAAGAGAAAACACTCCAATGAGACACTAAAATTTCCAATATTAGTTACAAATGTCAAGCTCAGGCCTCGCTTGCCATAGAATGCTGTCCAGGCAAACTCCTGGTCTGTTGCTTTCTTAAATGTGCTTCTTTCACTGTTTTATCTCCCATGCGGTTTATCTCCTCTGCCAGGATGGGGGGGGGAGTGAATGCTGGGGGGAATGTGTGCTTGAGCTTGCGTAGTACGTATGGGACCCTGGGAAGTGCATGATCTCAGCTTCTCGCCTGCCCTTGGGATGTAACTGACAGTTTGCAGGTGTTGGGCCGGCCCGGGGGGTAGGCCTAGAAGTTTGGCGGGCTGAGGGCAAACATTGGCCGAGAGGGCGGGATAAAAATTTACTAAATAAATAAACAAAACATTATTTGGGTGGTTTGCATAGAGGAGCTGTCCTGCTTTTTGTATAGGGTCAGACCTGGCATCTGGTGGCCAGTTCTGACACAGAATTAGTCTATGCTTGGAATCTGTTTACCTCCCAATAAACAAATCTTGCTGCAACAAGAGTGCTGTGAGAGTGATTGAGTCCAGGACGTGACATAGTGTCAGAACTATGAAATAAACAACTAACCGGTAGGGTGCCTGGTAGGCATTCCCTTCCCCAATACTGTGCGTGGCCCTACTTAGGAGTGTTAACTGTACTATGTAAACCACTCAGAGCCCTTCGGGGGTTGAGCGGTCTAGAAATTGAAAGTATAAAAATATAAATAAAAAACTGCCTTTCTTTCTTGACCCGGCACATCACTGACGTGATGAGCGCTGGAGGTGAGGAGACTGAAACAGAGAGGAGGGCACCGTGCTGCCTGAAGGGGAACCCCGGGGGCCTGATGTGAAGACAACGGGCTGACAAACAGAGATGGGATGGCGGGATGCCCCAGACTGGGCTACCCCCTTCCTTGGAGAGACAGGAGCCTGGCGGCGGTGGGCGGTTGACGAGTGGCTCCAGGTCTCAGGAGTGTTCTGGGATGACCCCGAGAGCCTGAAGGCCATGAGACATCAGCTGCAGAATGAGGATATAGAGCTTGTCTGGCAGGAGATGAAGACCAAAACGGCAGAGCTACACAGAGCTGCCCTGGACGGCCTCCTCGATGCCATTCGCCATGTCCTGCAGCAAGTGCTCCAGCTCCATGGGTCAAAGGGGCTCTGGCGCCCCCCGCTCCGCCCCCGGTTCCTGCACCCCCCAGGAATGCACTGGGAGCTGCTTTTGATGGGATCCCAGGGAAGCTAGCCTTTTCGTGCTGCAAATGCACAAGTTCCTGAGAGAATGGGGCCACACCTTTGTCTCTGAAGAGCAGAGTGGCCTACCTGGGGTTCCGGCTATGAAATTGTACAGCTAAACTGCAAGGCTGGCTGGAAGAAGTGCTGATAGAGTTCTACCGGGCCGGCCTGAACCACACCATCCTGGATGAAGCCCTGACCCAGGAGAACCTAGTCCCTTCAACAGCTAGATTCAGGTGGTGTGCAAGGCTGAGAATCATTGCAGTCTCCTGAAGATGTACCATCCCAAGCCTCCTGCGGGGCCACCAAAAGCACAAGGGGCTGGCAGAGGGGCCAGGGCACAGCGTGGTTGGGCCCCAGGGAGAGGGAGTGACAGGGAACACTGGATGTAGCAAGGCTTGTGGCTGAAGTGCAGGGGCGGGCCCGGGCACTTTGCCTCCAACTGCTCACGTGAACAGAGTTCAGGGCCAGCAAAGAAGGAGGAGGGCAAGGCGAAAGAAAAGAAGAAGCTCAAGCCGTCAGCAGGCCGCTTCAAGCATCTGAATGCCCTCCAGTCGAGCGAGGAAGAACTTCCAACAGCCAGCAGGAAATGGTCGGGACCTGCTGTGAAGGGGGCTAAACGGCAGGTCCGTGCTTCTCCAGTGCCAGAGTCAGTGAGGCCCTCTTCCCCCTTGTTTTTTGTGACAGTGACTGTAGTTAACCCTCCTCTCCAAACCTACATCAGAGTGAAGGCTCTCATTGATCCAGGATGCACTAGAGACATAATTAGCCTTGGCTTGGTGGCGGGGCTGGGAGCGGAATTAAGAGACTTGAGGGAGCCCCTGGTGCTTTCCCAGATGGACGGGTCCCCCATGAAGGGGGAGCCTTGTGTCCACTGCACCACCCACCTGCCCCTAGGAGTGGGCTCTCACTGGGAATCCCGGGCCTTCATAGTAAATCTGTCGGCCAAGTTCCCCATGGTGCTGGGAGGGCCCTGGCTCAGAACGCATGACCCATATATCCAGTGGAGCCTGGGGACCCTCCGATTTGTGGACTCCTGCTGTCAGACTCATGGCTGGAACCCAAAGGGGGGGGGAGCCATTACCCACGCGTGAATGGGTGTGCCTGGCCAAACCAAATTCCCCTGGAGTACAGAGACTTGTCAAAAGTGTTTGACAAGACAGAGTGTGGCGCACCCCCCCCCCCCCCCCGAAGACTGACTGCGCTATTGAAATTCCCCCTGGCCACAAACTCCCTAAGCGAAAACTATATTCCATGAGCCCAGCAGAAAGGGAAGAACTGAGAAAATTTATAGGTAAGAATAACAAACATATATTTTTTAATATTTTTACAACAGGCAAGTTTATCATGTGTATTATAAAATAATACAAACAACAAGGTAAATCCAAAAACGGAAACACTTGAACATGGATAATCAATTAGTGAAAACAACGTATAAATGTCAAGGAAGGTCTCTTATTCATAGAAGCATCATCAAAAAATCATCAGTCATCACGGGAGGATCCCAGGTAGGTTCATTCGTTTCGGTAAACTTCTTCAGTAAGGCTAAAGAGATGTATACATGCCATACCATTAATGTAAAAGTATTCTCGAGTTGCGTAATATACCATCAGAAATGACATTCATGCAAGTGTAAGATTCTTTCATAGGAATGAATGTCATTGCTGATGGTATATCACACAACTTGGAGAATACTTTTACATTATCGTAAAATAACTGTTAGGTAAGCTAATATTCTGTGCTTTAAATTGTGTTTACTAATTATAAATGTAATTTTACAATCTAATAGTATGGTATGTATACATCTCTTTAGTCTCACTGAAGACGTTTACCGAAAGGAGTGAACCTACCCGGGATCCTCCTGTGATGACTGATGATTTTTTGATGATGCTTTTATGAATAAGAAACCTTCCTTGACATTTATAGGTTGTTACCACTAATTGATGATCCATGTTCAAGTCTTTACACTTTTGGATTTACCTTGTTGTTTGTAATTTCATAATACACATCTGTTTTAAAAATATTGTAAAATACATGTTTGTAACCAATAGTGGAAATTTTAGCATCTCATTGCAGTGTTTTCTCCTATATATTTTTGACATATACTGAATCAGACCATTGGTCCATCAAGGTTGGTGTTGTCAGACTAGCAGCGGCTCCCCAGGGTCTCAGACAGAGATCTTTCACATCACCCACTACCTGATCCTCTTGAAATGCCAGGGATTGAACTTGGGACCATCTGCGTGCCTTTTCTCTTATATATTTTTGGCTTGCATTTACACACTGTAATCCTTCCTATGATGATTCAGTTTAAGGCAGTTTCGTGTGCAGTTCATGCCCAGAACACAGAGACAAAGCATACCCATGGAGCAGCCAGGGAGATAACCCGCTGTCTCTCCCCAGCCAGGCTGCTGCCAATGCCTGTCCGCACACACACACTTTCCCCAGCAAAGTAGCTACAGTGATTTGCTGTTCATCTAGTATGGTGCTATGGAGGCTGCCTTTCCTCTACAGAGAATGGCATGAGTGGGGAGGCAGTGGCTGGAGAGATGTGAAGGCAGACTAGTACCAGTGGGGCCGCTCACCTGTGGTAATAGCACTTAATGCAAGTAAAGAGAGAAGTGGCCAGCTGCATGGCTCTGAAAGGCATGGTAAAGGTAAAGGTTTCCCTTGCTCAAAAGCTAGTCAAATCTGACTCTAGGAGGCGGAGCTCATCTCCATTTCCAAGCCGAAGAGCCAGCGCTGTCCGAAGACATTTCTGTGGTCATGTGGCTGGCATGACCAAATGCCGAGGTGCATGGAATACTGTTACCTTCCCACCGAAGCAGTACCTATTTATCTACTTGCAATTTCTTGCTTTCGAACGGCTAGGTTGGCAGGAGCTGGAGCCAGAGATGGGAGTTCACACCATCAACGTGGCACTAGGGTCTTGAACTGCCGAACTACAGACCTTCCGGTCTGCCGCTCAGCATCTTAACCTCTGAGCCACAACGCTGCAATTGTTTTGAATGACAACATGGCGTTTCTCTTAAAATCAGAACCACAGCAAGCAGGTTCTGTACCAAGAGGAAAACAGACATGTTTTAGTTCATGATGCTGAAAGAAACCAAAGTGCAAGCCTACTTTGGGGTTCAGAAAACCATGAAATCTCTCTGAAGAAAGCTATGTGGTTTGCTGAACCATGTACCTATTACAATTTTCCTGTCAGTTCCCTGTTCAGCATCTCCTCTCCAGTGAACCCTTCTGTAGTTTGGGGGGAAATGGAAGAGAACTGTTAAACTGGAAACTAACAGGAAAAAAATTCCAGCGCGTGCTCTTGTCAGGACGTTTTGCTAGATCATGAGCATAAGGTATCAATATTCCAAAGAAAGTCAAACTGCAGATAATGAAAATTATTCACAAAGCTCACGCAGTTCAGATTTGTTCTATTAATCTTTAAACTGGCAGGGAGAATTTGAACAGATGGATGTTTGCTTGGACAGTAAAGACAATGGGAAACACATGTAACCACAATGAAATATTCTTCCTCACCATCCCCGTTTTTGAAGATGATCTCATTGTTCTGAAACAGCAGCTCAGACATAATATCTGGGTTTTCCCAATTGAGCCACAATGGCCTTTTTGCAGACGACATAATTCTGCACTCCTCAAGCCTAGGAAAGGATAAAATTGCCGCTTAAACAAATGAACCTTCAAATGTGGAGGAGGAGGAAGCAGCCGCAGGTGAGCCTTCTCCCCTTCTTCCCCGCCCCCACCCGGCACCAATGGTGAGGCCCGCGCGGCTCCCAGCCACCGGAGCCACCAGCCTTCTCCCTTCCCCCTCCCCCCCGGCACCGGCAGCGAGGCCTGAGCTTGGCCCGCCAAGCCTTTTCTTCCCCCCTCCCCCTCGGTGGCAGCGGTGGTGAGGCCTGAGTGGCTCACAGCCGCCGGCCCGCCAAGCCTTCTCCCTCCTCCCCAGCACCCGCGACGAAGCTTGAGCTTGGCCCGCCAAGCCTTCTCCTTCCCCTCTCCCCCAACGGTGGTGGCGGCGGCAAGGCCTGAGTGGCTCACAGCCGCTGGCCCACCAAGCCTTCTCCCGCCCCAGCGGCGGTGGCGGGACAGTTGCCGGGGCGTTCTCTGCGCATGCGCAGGGAATGCTCTTTTACTTTGGGGGAGGATTTAAATATTCCCCATATACTTTTTTCAACTTTTTTGATTTTTTTGCACATCTGGAGACTGCTCCAAGTGCGCAGGAAAATCTCTCTGCCCCCCCAAGTGCCCCCAATGTGCGGATTTAGATATCCACACGGAGGGGGCAACTTGGCTATTAGATATATAGATAAAAAGGGACCACCACAACGGAGGGTTTAGGCAGATGGCACATGACACAGGCAACATTGGACAAATCAGTGGTTGGATTCCACAGATGTGTTGGGGATGTAGCGATGGCCACAGGCACAGACAGCTTTAAAGGGGGATTAGACAGATTCATGATCCACAGCTTTATCAGCGGCTGTTAGATACAGTGACTAAAGTAAACCTCTGAATCCCAGGAGGCAACATCAGGGGAAGGCCATGGTCTCTATGCCCTGTTGCTGGACCTCCAGAGGAACTGGTTGGCCACCATGTGAGACAGGGATGCTGGACTAGATGGATCACTGGTTTGATACAGTAGGGCTCTTTTAATGTTCTTACAGATCCATTCTGCTAGCATGAGTACTTTCCGTTGGTGCAAGGAGCCCTTCTGCAACCCATGAGGCTCTAACAGAGCCTGTTCCCAACTCGATGGCAGCAATACCTTATCTGGTGGGTGGAGCATTGCACAGAAGCCAATGGCTTGCGTCTTTTCAAAACAAGGGACCTACTAAGAACGGCCCCAAACAGTCAGACTGCCAGCCTGTGAAAACAGCAATATTTTCCCCAAGTCCTTTAAAGACTGTTTCTTTTCCCCCAACATTTCCCACACGTATTAACTTAAGAAATATGCATTCCAGCAAACTGTTATAAATTCTGGGAAAGAACATACCTAAGGGTTCCAAGCTGATGAGCAGGATTGAGAGGAGATATAAAGCCTTGCAATGCATCCATGAAGTCTGGCCGCCTCATTTGCTCCACAAGGAACTTCATCTGTACCTGGTAGATAACAGCGTATTCATGAATTACAAGCTTGTGACCAGTTCCAGTTTTTAGCACAAACCGGCATGCTCTCATAAAGAGTCTTTTAAACAAAGCATTTCAGTAAGAAGTGCTAAAGAGAACAGCAAATGCAAAGCATAGCTTTCTTGATTCTGTCATGGAGCACATTTAAAGTTATGTCCAGCTCCACTGGACATCAGGTTACCTTTTGCGTTTCATCCTTTTTCTCTTGCTTGAGGATGTCTGTGAGGTTAATCAGTTTTTCCATAGCTTCTACCTGCCTGCTCAGATGTTTTAGGTACATCCCACATGCTCGGCAATAGGATTCCAAAAGCAGACCAAACCTCTGGCTCACATTTTTGTTGTGCATTTCAGACCTATCAGAAGAAATACTTTAAGTAACTTTTAATATCTATCTTGCTATCCACAAACACTCTCACTTCATTCCTGAACTAAAATTTTCTCCACTAGCAGAGATGGGAAACAGCTGCGACCTTGAAATGGCCATGAACTCAATATAGTCAGTTTGGGCTTACAGAAGACATTGTTATCACTTCAGTAAAAATCAGCTCTGATCTCATGCACAGGATTAATCAGCATAGGTATCAACGTAGAGTTTTCAAAAATAAGCTAGTATTTAAATATTATTTTAAATCATCCTTATATCTATAGTACAGTACAAAGAAAACAGGATTCGGTACCAAGGCACTTGCATTGGTTACTAAGTGTAGGAAGGACTGAAAAAACAATTATTTTTTTTAAATTTTAGAGCATTTTTAACTTGCTTTTCTCTGAAACCAGACTCCAGGCAAGTTATAATGACAAAAGGAACCTTTATGAACCCAGTGCAAATACTCTAGTTTTTATCAATTACATACTTTCAACTACATAAAACAATAAAGCTAATTAAAAGTGCTAGTTATCTGTTAATGCTTAGGCACACAACTAGTTTAATCTAACATTTCATGTGTTTTATAACAAGACACAAGCTTAATGCGGAAAAACCAAACGTACTTGAGATGCCAAAAGAAGAAATGTCCTATTCTTTGATTGGTCAGCGCCTTCTTCAGTAAAAACCTCACTAACAGATTATCCAAGTATTGCTCATATTTTAGAACCTAGAAGCAACAAAGTTAATGAGCTACAAATCACATTTTGATATAGGCATGTGGCAATATTAAAGTTTTGTACTCTAAATGACAAGCAAATTACTTGTAAATGGCCACTTGTCTGGTCACCCAGGGTGAATATAAGTTTCCCTCTATGGCAACCGGGTCTGAATGAGAGTTTCCCCTTTACACCATTCTTGTCCTTTAAATAAATCCTTCGCACAATCTTGGTTCACAGCATTAATGAACTTTTAGTTCCCTTCATAAACAACTGAGCCAGCACTTACTTCTGTGCCTGAAGGCTCCTGCTTTGTTTCACAGACAGCATCACCGCCTTTATATCCTGTTTTGTACCTAACTGAAAGCCCATAATTTTCTGAGCCAATGTGGTTATCTATGCAGGATCAGTAGTGTGGATTTACCTTCTATTTTCTCCTGCACAAATGAAGTCATTTAGAGTCTGAAAGGAGCCTGTCTGTCTCTCCACCTCTGTTCTCTCTTTTAGAGTCTGCAGCTATTTATCTTGTAGGAGAAAACTGACTGAAGCATATTTTTGGATGCAGTTCATTCCTAGAGTTCCTATGTACATTTATCTGATTTTAAATGTGGGAACATTTTCAAAGAAGTGCACATAGGATTGCAGCTGAACACCATGCTGCTCTGTAGCAGGGGGCTGACAAACCCCGGCACATGTGCCAACAGTGGCACACCAGACCGGGTTTTTTTTGCTCAGCATGCAGGGCTGGTTCTCTGCCCACACAACCAGGCAAGCCCTTGAGAGGCTGACAGCACTGCTGGAGCTTGGCTATTCCCCAGTTTGCCTGGCCAAGCACAACCCTTGTCTCTTCCCTCCTCTGCCCTGGTTGTTTGCCAGCACACCAATCTCTCCACAGGCAGACATTGCCTTTTTTTTGGGGGGGGGGTACTTGGGCCAAAAAGGCTGCCTAAGCCAGCTATACATGTTTACTTGGAAGCAGGTCTGATCGTTTCCAGAGTTGCTTGTTTTTCAGAATTGCTTACTTCCAGGTTAATGTGCATAGGACTGCAGCCAGGTTACACATTGATCGATGAGCAGGCCCTTTTGAAAAAGGGCAGACTTGTTCCGAGTAAACATGCATTCTATATGCAGCAGTCTGAGCACAAAGGACAAATTTTGTCCTTTTAACTTGAGGAGGGGAGGGGGGCAGATTACTTGCTTTGAAAGTGCCTCGAGGTAAAAATACAAAATATTTCTCTCTCCCTCAGTTGGTTCTCTCCCTTTCTTAATCATCTGGATCAAGAATAACCATTTCAACATCATTGCTTTTAAGAGGACAAGATTCAAGGTTCCTCTCCCTAATTTCTATGTTTTGTTTGCTTGTTTTTTAAATCCACATGCATGGGGCAGAGATGGACTTGCTTGACAGGTGGAGTTAGCACTTACTCACCACGCTGTCATCTCTTGCTATCTCTCCATATTTATCCAAGCCCTTCCCTCCAAGGAGTTCAGAATATTATTCTCACAACTCTGTTATTCTCACATGTTATTCTCACAACTCTGTGAGATGGAGAATGACTGACCCAAAGCTACCCAGTGAGACCATGAGCTAGTCAAGGCAGAGTGGAGGTTTCAACCCAGGCACCCCCTCCTGTATTACTCCGCAGCTCTAACCACTATGCTCTCTTTTAGCCTGTCCAGCTTCTCCAGCTGCAATGCTATTTTACCCAACTGTCAGCAAAACAGCTCTGCAAACTTTACACACGGCCCTTTTCACGCAGCCAAATAAACTGAACAGACTTAACCTTTTCTGGGGTTAATCGCAACTTTCCAGAAAAACTCCACCAAACCTTCTTTAGCACGTTGCGTTTATCTTACAAACGCAAGCCCGTACAATGAAAGAAAGGGTTGATTAAAACAGACTACGGTACCTGCACCAGTTGAATCAAATACTGAGACAGCTTATCATCTGTCAAGAATTTTTCCAGACACCGCACTGCAAAAGCACGCACCATCCGATCGGGGTAGTTGCAGTCCAGAAGTTCCATCGCCTGCTCAGGTTTGATGGGAGGCCAGTCTTTGATCAAGCAGTACATCTACACAGGTGAGAATGCCACGGATTTGCATCACTACCTCTATTACGATAACGCAAGAACTGCCTTGTGGGATCAGACCAAAACTGCAGCTAATCTAGCATTTTGCTACCAAATCCAAGAAAGCAACGAGGTGCCTCTGGAAGCAAGGAATGAAACGGAGGGGCTGACTCCTCTGTCTCTAGCATTTAAAGGTATACTGAGCCTGCTTCGGCGTGGAGGGTGTGGTATAAATTAATTTAATTAATAAATAATGAATACTATCTCTGAACAGTTAGCAGTCATGGCTAAGAGCTGCTGATAAGCCCTGGGCATCAATCTCCCTCCACCCAAAAAGCTATCCAATCAGCATCTTTCACAATATCTAGTGGCAAGGAATTACAAATGTTAAGTATGCAACATATGTTAATTGAAGCAAAAGGAAATTGTTGCAGGGCCATTATCCCTTAACAGCATTTTAGAAGGAAGTTATGGCTTACAATTACAATATACATGGTAAATACGGAAATGCATGAGAACAGAATTTAAACTTCAATGATATTCTCCCATTCATACAAGCTATTGTAATGAAAGCAATTCCACGAATTAAAAAAAAAACCTAATGGATATATTTTAATATTTTTAATTGCATTTGCCCAGTAATGCAGGTTTTACCTGGGTTACTTCATCTCTGGAGTTCCACTTAACAGACAAAAGCAGCTTGGGTAGAATTTCTGGCATATTTACACAATAATGCCTGCAAAGAAAAACAAAACGCAAATGGCTTTTGCACAAACAGTGTGAAGTATTATAGCAAATGTTTTCTGATTACTCAACTATATTTAGCAGTTTGTTTGCTGCGATGTAAATACCTTTCTAGGGGATTCACAGACAACCGGCAAAAACACTGGCCATGAGTGAGAGATTATATTCGTTCTCATCTCTTGTCCAGGTGTCTTTTTCCACTCCCACCTGAAGTCTGGGCCAGGAGTTCCTCAGGGGGCAGGCTGTGTCATACCCATGGTTACTCCACCTGCTCTTCATAGAACTTTCGTTACTTGGATGGAACTGTATCTATCACATTTCTGCCCCACCCTTCCTGAATTAGGTTACACTCTGAGCAAACGACTGGTTCAATGTCATCCAGTGAGCTCTGTGGCTGATTGGAGCTCTGAGCTCCGGTCTTTGGGATCCCAGTCCAATGCCCTAGCCACTAAAGCACACTGGCTCTCTGGGAGCTCCAAGTCTCATACCTGTGCCTCCAGAGGAAGTCCTTCTCTTGTTCAGTTATTTCAGACAGGGGATCTCGAGTGCAAATTGCACGGAGCTGCTCTTTGTCACTTTCACTCAGTTCGTTGTCTCTAGCTATTCTACTGCTCTGTAAAATGGGACACAGCGTGTCACTCAAATAACAAAGGCAGGATTCACATTTTTACTAGATTGCATTAAAACTACTGGAAAGTGCTTGCTTGAGCCTATTTCATTTATTTGCCACATACCTGTTCCACTTTTTAATGCCAGCATTCCTAAAACACCCCACTTCCGTTAATTTTTCTTTAAAAATACATATAAATTTTTAATGCCACATACACTTTTTAATGCCAGCATTCCTAAAGCACCCCACTTCTGTTAATTTTTCTTTAAAAATACATATAAATACGCACTGGTTTAATAATAATTCAAAGGCAAAAGCTGTAACTAAAATTACAGTTCCACTTAAACATGAAGCAGGTGATGGCATAAAACTGGGTTTCACTTAATTTCTGAAATAAGGCCAAGAGAGAACATAAATGGGCCTCTTGGGGGAGTACACCCCCCATCTCCAGAATCACAATCGAAAAGGCTTTGCTCCGAGAAACTAATACAATTTCTTGGCACTGTAAGATGGGATTTCGAACAGAGCCTTGCCAGCAGCTCTTGGAACACTGTCAGGTTCATCCAGCAAAAGGCATGGGAACACTTCAGCCATATGGCCACTAAGCTGTTGTGATGGTAAAGAGTCCTCTGCATCCAGCAGCATAGAAGGCTCATGCTGGTAATTTCTGCTGCTACATTAGTGGAGCTCAGAGCCAGCTCAAGTGGTCTTCTTCATAGGCCACCTCAAAGAAGGGTCTCTGCAGCCCACCTCAGATGGATGCAGCAGTGATATGGGAAAAGGCACAGGCCTACTTCCGTGTCACTCAGGCAGGATCCAAGGAAGAGCACAGCGAAACTTCCTCTGCATCCCACCTTGGACCCCAAGTGACAACAGCACCAGAGCAGGAGACTTCAACAAGCGTGAGCCACACCTACCCCCTCCCACATTTGTTTGGCACCCCAAACAGCTGGCTTGGGCAGGGAACCAGCTGTAGTGGATCTGTGGCTGACAGTAAGCCTGTACTTGGATTTTCAAAAAAACTTTTGATAGCTTCTCCAAGAGTTCTATGGAAGATTCCTATTCTATCTGATATCAGATCGTGAGCTCAAAGCCATTCTTTCCCCTCCAAATAGGTCCTCTTTCTTAAACCAATATGCTAGATTACCTATAGATTGGCATATGTGATTGCTGTAATGCCAAAGCTTTGTAACTGCTCAGAATTAATTAACCTCCACTTCTTGAAAGGGTTATGAATTCTTTTCTGGACCTGTTGAGTTAGATGCTAAGAACCTCGCAAAATGAACTAGAACACTTAACTATTTATATTAACAACGATCTGACATATATGATTGTAAAGGATAACTGTATTACAAATTCCTAGAACTTCCACAGTAAAAGCTCTGCTTAAATCTGAATCCCGTCAAACAACAGACGGCCCTGTCAAACAACAGTCCAGAGAACTGGATTCGATCTTAATATAAACCAACTGCCATCAATTGTCATCTCTCCATAAAGCATTTTAAGAATGTGTGCACATGCTTTAATGGTTTTCACAAAACAATCAGAATAGCAATGTTCTCCTTACCTGCCCAGCAGGACTGTAGTTATACCCTAGTTCTCGAGAGATAGTCCAATTGGCATGTTCTTCAATCACTGACATGTCGGGAAACTTTACAGGACTGCTAAACCAATCAAATTCCAGCTCTAAACATGGAGTTTCCTGAGGAGGCGGAGGAATTAAAACAGTTTGTGCTTGTACATTATCAATAATGTCAGTTAAGAAAATAAAAACTTCATTTCCACGAACATATGATAGGTATCTTTAGAGGACATGAACAATTGCTAAGGACTACTGGCTAGTACTTCATGGCCCATGAAAGATCAGTTCTCAGTATGTCTTTCCCCTCATTTGGAATCAATTTCTAGAGGTGGACAACAAACAGGCCAGTGCATTAACCACAATTTCCCATTAATTCAAGGATCATAAAGTGTGCTGCAGTTCCGAATGGTTCCATTTCCAATTTTGTTTTCTGCCTGCCTGCCCTGGGGCCTACGGCAAAAGAGAGCTCTAACAGCCAAGCTATTCGTAGGCTGTTCTCATAAGCAGGTGATAAAGAGGTCAAATTGCCTCTGGGCTGTACCACTACACAGGTAACAGCAGTATTCTGCACCTAAGCGCACCTCTGCTTTCTAGGGTTCAAATGTTTTGGTCTGTTATCAGTAATTAGTCACACCAATCTAAAACATTAAAATAATTACCCAACTCTTGTATGGGGTCGAGATCTGGGGTTGGGACGACAACACAATATCTAGCCTGAGGATAACACAAAACTTCTTTCTAAAGATAATTTTGATCCTCACTCAGGGCACTCCAGCTGCCCTGCTGTGAGCTGAATCTAGCTTGCCTTCTATTAGGGCTGGTGCCCACACTGCCTTAATGAATTACTGGAGAAAGTTGAAGAATTCTCCTAGTCATCTTTCTAAGCAGTGCTTTATCCAGCTCCAGAAAGACACCTCTTCGGTTGCCAGCTATTACAGGCTTTTCTGTTGGACCCTGGGGCTTTCCTCTAGATGGGTTCAAAAACTCAGGATAAACAGGTTGCTTACCTGTAACTGATGATGTTCGAGTGGTCATCTGTGCATTCACAC